CACTTTGTAGTACGGAATACCTGGTGGTGGTGTTGGAGCCGTTATGTCTCTTCTCTTAGATACAAACTTAGCAAAATTTAAGGAATATGCAAGTAAGGAGAGAGTAATTAAAGTTTTTGCAAATCATTTTGTTGATCAAGCTATTGAAGTGGATATTCCTCCTATTGAAGATCCTCCAGTGCAAGCTAATCAGCATGAAGTTCCTAACCCCAATGAGAAAGAAGGACAACCCCTATAAGAAAGAAAACAACATCTAAAAGGAAGAAAGTATTATCAAGAGGTGAAAAGGGGGGGAAATATTGTTACTCAAAAGGGGAAAATATTGTTACTCAAACTCATCTTGATCAGAATGCATCCTCTACTGATGATGATGACTCAGTAGAGGATGAAGCATACAAAATTGACCCAACTGAAGTGGTAGATGATGATGATGAGTTGGTTCAAAAGTCCAAAAATAGAAGGGGGGAAAGGTGGTGAGTGATGAAGGTCATTCTAAACCTGAAGCTAATATCCCAAAGGGATATGAAAGTGATGATGTCTTAACTGCTAGTGAAGTAGAAAAGGCATTGAATAGTGACCATGAAGAGATTCATGAGATGAGAGAAAGAAATATTGCCATGTTAGCATCGCAGAAGAGTAACATAGCTTTCAATTCTGGTGCAAGGATTAAAAAGGACCAGCCAAGTGAAACAGATCCAGGACAAGCAAATGAGCCAAGTCAAGAACATGCACAACATCATGCACATGCACAACATCTACAAGGAAATGCAGAGCAGCCTAGTGAACGAAATGCAGATCATCCAAATGCATCAAATTTGGAACAACATTATGAAGCAAATGAAGAAACAGAAGCAAATGTAGAAAGAGCAATAGAAGCAAATACAGAACAACCAACAGAAGCAATTCTAGAACAACCAACAGAAGCAATTACAGAACAACCAACATAACCAAATCAAATACAAGATGATGATGATATTGAGGGTTTGATTGTAGGTGGTCCTAGAGCAAAAGAAGCAATACCAAGCAATGCAAAATGACCTAAATACTGGACATCTTATAGAGGGTATGAATCAGATTCGAGAGATAGTGCTGATGAGGATGCTTTGGAACCAAGTGAAGATGAAGCAGTAATTATCCCTAGAAGGAAGAAGAAAATGAAGGAGCTAATAAAGTACAAATTCTTCAATGAGGATGTGGACATGAAACAGGTGGAACTAGAATCTGAATTGAGATTCACTTCAAGAAAGATACTGAAAGAAACTATACTCATATATTTTATGGAAAACACTACGATTTGGTCTATATGAAAAATGACAAAAAAATAATTCATATTAGATGTTCTTTGTGCAATTAGTAGTTGACTGTTGAAGTAGATCTCATAAATAGGATGGCATGGCAAATCAAGCATGTATCCCCTACGCATACATGCAATAGGACATTCAAGAATAGACTAATAACTGAGAATTAGATTACTCAAACTTACCTAGACCAACTATTAAAGAATCCTAAAATAAAGCCAAGGGAAATTGCTGCTAATATGAGAATAGATTTTGGTGTAAATGTAAATGAGAGGAAATGTGCAATGGCCAAAGACAAGGCACTCAATGTTGTGCATAGATTAATGCAAAGGCAATATGAATTGCTCAAGCCTTACATAAGAGAGTTGTGCAAATCAAATGAAGGCACTAAAGCTGTTCTAAAGGTCCATGATTTAGAACCAGGACAACCAACTGTATTCATGAAATTTATATATGTTTTAAAGCAATGAGATTGGGTTTCCTACATGGTTGTAGGAGGTTCTTTGGCTTAGGTGGATGTTTTCTCAAGCATTCATGTGGAGGATAGTTATTAAGTGTTGTTGGGAGAGATATAAACAATAATATGTTTCCAATTGCATGGGCTGTAGTTGAGGGAGAAAATAAGAACTCTTGGCAATAGTTTCTTAGTTGTTTGAATGCAGATTTGGAAATCAGGGATGATTAAGGATGGACTGTGATGTCAAATCAACAAAATGTATGATATAATTTAGATTTCATCTTAAATTATTGCTAGATTTATCAAGATATTGACAGTTTATATATGTTCTTACTTGATAGGGCCTTGTACCTGTCATTCATGAAATGTGGCCAGAAGTAGAGCATAGACAATGAGCAAGGCACATATATTCTAATTGGAGAAAGGATCACAATGGTAGGGTTTTGCAAAGGTAATTTTGGAAATGTACAAAAACAGCTATAATGGGAGAATTTGCATACGAAGCATCCAAGCTGAGGGGTCTTTGAAAGAAGGCATATGATGATTTCATGGATAGGGACCCTCATACATTTAGTAAGTTTCATTTTAAGACTCATAGTCAATGTGACTACCGAGATAACAATATGTCTGAAACTTTCAACTCCTTCATTTTACTTGCAAGATTTAAGCCTATAATATTTTGTTAAAAGATATTAGTTTATCTTTGATGAAGAGGCTGCAAAAAAAAGATGCTATTATATAAATTTGCTAGTGGAATAGCCCCTAGAGTGCAAAATTTTTTGGAAGAGGCTTATAATGAACAGATTAATTATGAAGTACATTGGAATAACTCAACAAATGAGGTTGGTTTTGAAGTGATCCATAAACATGTAAGCCATAAACTTGACATAGGCAAGAGGACATGTTCTTGTAAGGTATGGGAGTTGACAGGAATCCCTTGCACACGTGCTGTAAGTGTAATTTTATTCCTGAGGAGGAAACCAGAGGAATATGTATCAGATTGTTATAAGAGTGAATGTTACTTACTTGTCTATGAATATTCGTTGGGCCCAACGAAAAGCCACAAATATTAGGACAATGAAGGGGAAGGCAAGATATTACGTCTAAATATTGCTAAAAGGAAGATGGGAAGACAAAAAACAGCTAGGAGGAGAGACCCATCTAAAGACTTACGCAATACTTCTTAAGCATCAAGGCCAACAAAGATATAGTCATTGCCATTCCAGTGAACATTTAATCAGACATTGTCCACTTGCACCACCAAGGAATCAAAGATCTTCAACCCAACAAGATGCAAAAGCTCAGACCAATCTCACTACTAATTCAAATCAACTAAAAAAAGAGGAAGGCCAAGAGGAAGCAAAACTAGAGTTGGCTTATCAACAGATGATTTGACAACAACTAATCCAATTTCTAAAACCCAGTTGTTTATCAGATTCAGGTCTATAAGGGGTGAAAATGCATAGCAAGGTAAAGGTGAAAACTCAGTCATTAGTCTGTTGCAAGTGTTTAAGTTAACTTTATTTTTTATTTGCAAAGGTTAAGCTCGATCTCAGACAACAAAACAGGAAGAGGAAGAAGAATAGGACGAGGAAGAGGTGGTGAAAGGGGGAGGAGCAGTCAACATTACATTAAACACCATTACATTAACCACTCAAATACAACAAGAACAACATAACATCAAAGTAGCACACTTGTATAATTTAAGAGATCTTTTCTATAAAATAAAATCATCTCTCAATCTGCTAATCTCTTCCAAAGTACCTGCAGTTTTATTTTGACACATAATTACCTTCTTCTTCAACATGTTGTTCTCCTCTTCACAGCTATTGATCTCATACATTAACTGATGATTTTGACAAACGTACAAATACAGATTATTGCTCCTGTCTTCAGACAATCCATCAAGTTCATTCATATGGCAATTCAACTTTATAATTTCATCTCGTAGAGGAGGCACTAAATTAGCAGTAACTTTGCACATTGGCGTGTCATATCACTCCCACAATCCACAATCAATGTTCTGAACATTTAGTTGAAACAAAATTTTAGAAAATAACAAAATTACCCAAACAAAACCAAATCAAACTAAACTCAAACTCGCATTTTGGCATCTGTAGAACCTTCTGCCTAGATTATCTAAAGTGAAGGAGGTTAGATAGATGCAATCTAACTCACACTTATACTTCTTTACCCCCTCAATTATTGCTTCTTTAATCCACTTTTGAATGAAGTGCAATTTATTGAATCCTGCAGTCATTCCACTATTCCCGCCACCGACGCTCCTCCTTGACGACATGCTTGAGCTTGAAGAGGACATCCTTGAGATCTTCGAAAGCAATTTCGCTTATCTCCCCTCAGCCAAAGAAATCCCAACCTGAGTTTTCCCAAAATTTGTTGTGCCCTAGTTCTTCGTTTTATCCCCGTTTTTTATTCCCTCCGAAAATCAGTTAATGAAATCCACATCACTAATCCTTGCCACATCAGCATTTGATAACGGTTATTAAGGGCCACATGATGATCACGTGATGAGTTTCGCCGAAAAATTTAACTCCGGCCAAAATTTAGACCAAGTGCTAACTTAAACCCGCTTTAAATACTGAAACGTCATCAGAGATATTTTAAATACTAATGTGATAAAACGGGATACCAATGTGGTAAAATGGGTCTTTTTTAAATGTTAATTTAGTAGTTTAGCCATTTTTCATTTGGAAGAGCGCCTCTGCGTGGCCCACTAACAACTTCTGTGATTCAATGATCGTGCAACATGCTTCCTTGGCTACCAATATGAGAAAGTTGCTTTATATGGCTACACATACTGATTGCCAAGGAATCGAGTCATTATTGTGATTTGACTCAAGGTTACAGAAAGTGCTAGGTTGCCTAGGCGTTAGACCCAGAGCCTAGAGCCTAGGCGGAAGCGCCGATAAGGCCTACGTGTTTTCCTTTTTTATTTTTAAATTATAGTCAATGTTATCAAAAGCGCTAGGCACCGCTAGGTGCCACACGTGACCGAGAAAACACTTGATAAGCGCATGAATTTAAAATAAAAAAAGACATATTTCCCCATTTTCAAGTTCTTGAAGGGACTGTCAGTTAACAAACCTCAGAAGAAGACGGATGCTTCTATGGACACCTTAGGACCTGGCTGAAACCCGAGAAGCCTAAACAGAAATCTGGCCTTAACTGTGTTTGATTACTATGAAGAAGAATCAATCAAGAAAAGATTATGATTCTTCTCTCACCTCCTCCTCCTTTCTCTCCATACTCCGGTGTTCATCCATCTCCCCCAATCTCTGATCTGCTCCTTCTTTCTCTGCCCCCATTTCTTCTCCCAACCTCCATCTATATTCACTCAGATCTATGGGTCAGAACTCTGCACCTCACCCACTAACCTTGGGTACTAAAGACGCCGCCTTGGATCATAGACGACTGATATAACGATTGCAAGAGAATAAATCCCACTCAAATACGGAATTATGGGGGATTTTCCAGCATAAAAAGCCACCAATTCCTAATCTGGGAATTTTACCGAATCGAAAAATAATGATAATAGCAGTAATAATAACCCTAACCCTAATTTTTGCAGGAGAAAGAGGAGAAATAGAGAGCGGGGGTTTACCTGATTTCTTTCTTTGTCTATGTGGCGTTTCTCTCTCTCCTTCTCTCCTCGATCGCAAAACTCGAGCTCTGCAGCTCGCAAGAGGAAAAGACCCGATTTTGGGTTGGGTTCGGCTCTGGGCTTTGGATCACGGCCAAACGGGTCCAACTAAACCGGTAACAAACTGGGTTCGTCTGGTTGGCGAATACTTGACAATGTGTTAACGCTAAAAATGGCACCTTATAAATAGTTTTTGGCACGTAAATATTGGCTAAATTAATTAATAGGTATGTTGTGTTGACCTTCAATACCAACTTAGTATATATTCCTACTCTGATGATGATAAAAGTATATAAAGTGAGACATTTTTGGCTGGACCAAAATTTCTGATGAGATTATCTCACGTGACTCGTCACAGGCGTCTTGAATTGCTCAGTTAGACCTTTATGTGGCGAAGGTTATACGGGATCTTTAAGTAATCGATAGGATTGTTCATCCGGGTCGGGCAAAACCCGGGCCCGGGCCCGACCGGGCCGGGTTCCGGGCCGGCCCGGGTTTTTTTCTTTTTTTTTTAAAAATTTTTATCAAAATTTTAATTTTTATTTAAATTTTAAATTATAAAAAAAGACAAAAAAATAATAAAAATAATAATTTTATTAATCACTTAAAATGACATAAATTACAAATAAAAAATTATAAAAATAAATTCTTTATTAATAATTAATAAATCATTTACAAATTACAAGTATAAATTTATTTTGGAATTCATCGCATCACAATAGATAAGTACATCCCAACTAGGTTTTTTTAAAAAAAAATTCTTTTTTTTTTTTTGATAAAAAAATGCTAAAAATTAGTTTACTATTATTATATTTTATATAATTATGTATTAGTATATACTTCCAAATTATTATGTAACTATATATTATATATACATATAATATATGTAAATATATTGTATATATTTATAAGTTATAATTTGAGAGAGAGAATCGCATAAGTAGCGCGTTGCACGTTGGGCCAATGGGAAGAAGTAGCCGTTGTATAATACTATACTTATATATACTATATACTAAAAGAGAGAGTATACACACACACATATATAAGAGTATACTTATATAATAGGAATATACAATATGAAGAGAGAGTAATACTTATATATACATATATACTAAGAGAGAGAGTATATATATATATTATATATATATATATAATATATATATATAATATATGTATATATATAATATATATATATATATATATATAAATATAATATATATATATATTATACATATATGAGAGTGTATACTTATATATGTATATAAGAGAGAGTATTCTTATATATACTTATATAAGAGAAGTATCCTTATATATACTTATACATATATATACTTAATAAGAGAAAAGTATACTTATATATACTTATACATATATATACTTATATAAAGAGAGTATACTTATATATGCTTATATATCAAGAGAGAGAGTATATATACACACATATGATATATTAACATAATATAGAAATATATATATAAGAGAGAGTATACTTATATATATATATATACTAAGAGAGAAGATAATATACATACATACATACATTATATATATATAAGAGAGAGTATTCTTATATATTATATAATAGAAAGATACTTATATATTACTTATATCATATATATTACTTATATAAGAGAGAGTATATATATACACACATATGACATATTATACATATATAGAAATATATTTTATATACATATATTATATATATGCAAATTATACATATATAAAAATATATATATATAACATATATTATACATATTATATATATTTATATATACATAAATTATCATATATAATATAATACATAAAAATAAAAAATAAAAAAAAAAAAATAATCCGGGCCGGGCACAAAAAGCCGCCCGGAGCCCGGACTTGCCCGGGCCGGGCGCGCCCGGCCGGCCCGGCCGCGGGCTGTTATGGACACCCTAAGTAACGATATGAAAAAAAATTCCCTAAAATTTTTATGTATCCTCTGTGCATACGAGGGAGAGAGCAATTCTTCTCCAAATTGCAGAAATTTCCTAACCAAATTTCAATTCTTAATTGAATTTTAACCCTAGGAGGAAAAAAACACCCAATTTGATCCCCACCCTTTTGAGCCCTAATTTCTCCAAAAAATTAAAAAAACCAAACTCATCTTTTTCAGTTCAAATGAATGGGCTTAACTATCTGCCACGTAAGAAGCCACATGAGCATCACGTAGCAAGTCACGTGACGTTTAGCTGCTGGAAAAAGAACTCCGACTAAAAAATGAGCATGTTGTCACCGTCTCCAACTTTATACACCATATCGTCTCCAGAGTAAGAAAATATAGCAAATTTGTATTTATGGTCAATAAAATATACCAATCCAATAATTTAGAGCTTAAATATTCAGTGGTTTTTGCGACACTTAAATGTGTTAGATAGTTGATGGAGCTGGTAATGGACAGAAAGTAATTAAAATGAGTTAGTACATGGATGAAAAGAGTTTGTACTTGGCCATGAGGTAAGGTCCGTAAGGACATGGGAACATCTCTCCTTTATGTATAACTAGTATTTTTAGCTCGTGCTAAGCATAGTTTTATTGCAATTCATCTATATTTCGTCGTGTTTCAATCACTCTTATCTGAATACAATTTTAAAGATATAATGACTCAACCCCCTTTGAAGCGCGTGAACCCCACCCTACCCCACTCATTGAGGTTAGAGAACATGTCCTCACCTAGAAATAATGATACTAAACAACTTATATAAAGCTATAATTAAAATAAGATAATTTAAACTATTTTTTCATAAAAAATAAATAAAATGAAGATAATCAAAATATACTTCAATGCAACTTGAATGAAATTAAGATATAAAACAGTTTAATATTCAAAAAATATTATTTACAAAGGATGCATCACCAAAAAAAGTTATCAATCAATCAACCAATTATAGGATAATAAGCAAAATATTAAGAAAAGCTCTAATAATTTTCAATTATTTTTTATCCATCTTAATCTTCTTCTTTAAAGTTGAAAGAGCTAGTTCTTTGTCCATTTCCATAAAATAAAAAACATGTTTATATAGTAAATTTAATATTTAAAATTTTATATATATAAATTAATTAATGTATAAATAAGCCTACCTGATTATATCTTTGTTTTTTCATTGGTTGTAGGCGGGGTTTTAAATGCCAAAGAGTCAATTATAGCAATAAGTGATACATCTACAATCTTCATTTTGCTATTAGTGATGGATATCAGTGTGGATAAGTCTGGATTTAATTCAACAGTTTGATTATTAATAGTACCATCTTAATTCAATTCAATTGGTTTCCCTGCAGGCTGTCTAAAAATTACTGCAGATGATCGATTCTCACCAAGCACTGATAATAGAAGTTACAATTCAACGACTTTCAGAAGGTTACAATTTGGAGACTTTTACGACAATCAACAAATGTTACAATTCAATGACATTCACAACAACCGATGGAAGTTCTGATTCAACAACCTTCATAATCATCAACAGGAGTTACAATTGACGACTCTCGCATTCCAAGGAGTTGAGATGAAAATCACGATCTTTGCAATGCTCTAACTAGAGAGATTACAAATCAACGGTCTCTTAAACTCAAAATGCAGAGTTCATCTCTGTGTTTCCAGACTCAAAACGCAGAGCTCGTCTCTGTGTTCCAGACTCAAAATGCAAAGCTCATCTCTGCGTTCCAGACTCAAAACGCAAAGCTCATCTCTGCATTCCAGACTCAAAATGCAAAGCTCATCTCTGCGTTCCAGACTCAAGACACATGGCTCACCACTATGTTTTTCAGCCTCAAGTGCAAAACCTAACTCTGCATCCCAGGTTCAGAACACAGAGTTCGTGCCCAGAACACAAATTTTATATTTGACTCAGTCAAACACGAGCTAAACGGTTCTGAAACCATTTTTCACGATTTGAGGGGGATCACACCCCACTTAGGAGCATTTTTAGGGGTTAGTTACACCCCTTAATCCCCTATAAATAGCTAAAAAATCAACTTAAATGGGGATCTTTGGATCTTTGAGCATTTTTTGGATCTAGATATCGGCAACAGAAAGCTTGGAGCATCTTCTGGAACTGTTCTTAGAGCTTTTCTTTATTCTTGGCTATAAACCGACTTCGGTTAGATCAAATCAACTCTGTTACAGAGTTCTAAACTCGTATTGAGTTCTCAAACTCAATCAGAGTTCTTAAACTCGTGAGAGTTTTAAACTTGTCACACAAGTTCTCCTCAACGTCAATTCAAGGGGAATCAACCAAGTTCTACGAGGTGAAGCGTTCAAATCATCAATGGAATATAAGAATTAAGCTCCAATCGACACTAAGAAGAACCCAGTTTTAAACAAAGAGAAAGGTCTTCGTAGATCTTTCTCTCTTTTGTAAATTGGGAAACCGATAAGAGAAGTTGTAATTTCTTCTTCTAAGTCAGTTAGAGAGATATTATTATGAGAGATTATATTCGTTATTTTCCTAAGGTAGTTAAGGAGATAAATACAAATTTTATTCTCATTTCTTCTTCAATTTCCCCCACGAACAAAAGATGGCAACTTCGCTGGAGATGAGCTTTACGGATGAAGAAGTGGTGGTGCAATCCGACGTCAACCTCGCTGGAACTATGGTCGAAACTCTTGTTGTGGAGTTTGATCAATCCAAGTACGAGGAGGCACTCTCCTCCGGATCCATTAGCCCCAAGGCTATGCGTAAGGTCTGCAAAGTCTCTAAAGAGACTAAAGCTCCAATTGCAGCTGAATCACCAAAGGAAGGCCTTTCCTTTGTCAAAGATTGCTCGGACAACCTCTCCTCTATATGAGTGAGCTTAGCTTCAGCCAAACTCGTCAGTCGAGTGAAAGATTATATGCCCGCACCAACACAATGGGTATCGAGTCACAAAAGGCCCATTACGGTGATAAACTTGATCATTACAGA